CCTGCGCAGCGTGGAGCGGCCGCCGCCCGAGGACGAGGCCCTCGCGGGCGCCTCCGTCGCCCCTGAGAGCTCCGCTAACGCCACCGCCCCCGCCCCAGGCGAGGGCGCGGCCGCCGGCGGGGACGACCAGGGCGCCGCGGAGGCCAGCGAGGCCGTGACGGAGGGCCACACCGAGGCGGCGCCTGGAGAGAGTGTAACAGTGCGCGGGGCCGCGGGCGAGGGGGCAGCCGAGGGCCAGGGAGGGGTCAAGGGACCGGTGGCGGGGGGGAGTGAGCGCGGCGCCACGAGCGAGCGCAGCGCAGAGAGTGCGACGAGTGTGACCAAAGCCTCGGCGGACAACAAGAGCGCGAAGGACAGCGCGAAGGAGGAGGAGAAGGCGAGCGCGCCGCCGCCCGCAGAGCGCATGCTCGGGGACGACCCCGAGGGCGCCCCGGCCCGCGACGAGAGAACTAGCGCCGACGGCGCAAAGCCCGAGGGAAAGATCACAGACAAGCCAAGAACTAGTGCGGGCGCGCGCGCGGGCAGTGCGGACGAGGACCTGGAGAGCCTGGGCCTTGCGGACGACATGATGAGTCTCATGAAGGAGGAGGGGCCGGCCGTGCCCGTGGCGGCGCCGGAGGAGACCCGCGTCTCGGACGCCGCCAGCGCCGCCGCCGCCGCCGCCACCACGGAGGGCCCCGTGGCCCCCGCGCCGCCGCCTGCGGCCGGCTCCTCGGGCCGCCTGATCAAGGTGACGGGGCTGCGTGTGGAGCAGCACTCGAAGGGCATCGCGTACGACGACGACCTGGCCGGCACCGTCCTGGCCGACGCCGACGCCCAGGTGCGCCTGTTCGGCGTGGGCCTCACCAAGTCCACGGGGCTCCAGTTCACGGCCAACGAAGGCGATTACGGCGACTCCTGCAGCACGCACACCACGCGCGAGTTCGAGGTAGGTCGCGTCGGCGCCGCCGCCGGGAGTAGAGGGGCGGGGCTTCTCTCGGAGGGGGAGGAGCCCTGCGTGGGCAACAAACCTGTTGGATCTATATATTAGTTTTTTATTTGATTTATGTATTTTGTTTTATTTTGTCTCCCATTTTTAAGTATTGGTAGACATCCAAGCGCGACTCTATTGTGCACATCAAAATGATATACAGGACGATGAGAGTGAGTGAGTGAGTGAATGAGAGAGAGTGAGAGTGAGAGTGAGAATGAGAGTGAGAGTGAGTGAGTGAGTGAGTGAGTGAGTGAGTGAGTGAGTGAGTGAGTGAGTGAGAGAGTGAGAGAGTGAGAGAGTGAGAGAGTGAGAGAGTGAGAGAGTGAGAGAGTGTGAGAGAGTGTGAGAGAGTGTGAGAGAGTGTGAGAGAGTGAGAGAGAGTGAGAGAGAGTGAGAGAGAGTGAGAGAGAGTGAGAGAGAGTGAGAGAGAGTGAGAGAGAGTGAGAGAGAGTGAGAGAGAGTGAGAGAGAGTGAGAGAGAGAGAGAGAGAGAGAGTGAGTGAGTGAGTGAGTGAATGAGAGAGAGTGAGAGTGAGAGTGAGAATGAGAGTGAGAGTGAGTGAGTGAGTGAGTGAGTGAGTGAGTGAGTGAGTGAGTGAGAGAGTGAGAGAGTGAGAGAGTGAGAGAGTGTGAGAGTGTGAGAGTGTGAGAGAGTGAGAGAGTGAGAGTGTGAGAGTGTGAGAGTGTGAGAGTGTGAGAGAGTGAGAGAGTGAGAGAGTGAGAGAGTGAGAGAGTGAGAGAGTGAGAGTGTGAGAGTGTGAGAGTGTGAGAGTGTGAGAGTGTGAGAGAGTGAGAGAGTAGAGTGAGAGAGTGAGAGAGTGAGAGAGTGAGAGAGTGAGAGAGTGAGAGAGTGAGAGAGTGAGAGAGTGAGAGAGTAAGAGAGTAAGAGAGTAAGAGAGTAAGAGAGTAAGAGAGTAAGAGAGAGAGAGAGAGAGAGAGAGAGAGAGAGAGAGATAAGGGAACACACAGAGAGAATGTAGAGATATCGCCAAACTTTGCAAGGAATTTCACGAACACAAAGAGGGGTGGGGGGGTGGGGGGAGAAGGGGAAGATGAGGGGGAGAGAGAAATTTTTTTAATGAAAGGGGGAGGGGGAGAATTAATTGCTATTACTGGGGAAGGAATAACGTGAAGAATTTCTGCCGCAGGTTAGATGCCCAAGTAGGGAAATTTTGGGCAAGCTTATTAGGGGGGGGGGGGGGAAACACAACAAAAATAATGATAGTAAGACTTTAGTTTTTTTTTTTATTATTATTATGTCACGTGAATTTCTCTTTTCCAATAAATGGCTAGCGATTAGAGGTTCACCGAGGAAGAGAACAGATAGAAAATTGATTGGTGATTGGTAGATAGGCAGACAGATAGACATAGACAGACACACGTAGACAGACACACACAGACACATATAGATACATATAGACACACAGATACATATAGACAGACACACATTGACAGACACATAGACAGAAACAGACAGACAGACAGACAGACAGAACAGATTAAGAACAATTAGAAACTAAGAACCCTGTGTGAAAGCGACAATTTAGAGAGAACAGGATCTTCATGAGTTCGTTGACAGGAGAAAGGGAGAGAGAGAGAGAGAGACGAGGAAACTGCGCTAGGATTGCGAACAGGGAGAACCTAAAGAGAGGGAATAAAGAAGGGAGAAGGGAGGATGAGAGGAGGGACGGTGGGATGGGGCAGATCCGTGAGAAGAGGGAGAGAGGAAGGGAAAGAAAAGAGAGAGGAAGGGAAAGAAGAGAGAGGAAGGGAAAGAAGAGAGAGGAAGAGAAAGAAGAGAGAGGATGAGAAAGAAGAGAGAGGATGAGAAAGAAGAGAGAGGAAGAGAAAAAAGAGAGAGGGGGAGGAAGAAGAAGAGGAAGAGAAAAAGAGAGAGAGGGGGAGGAAGAGAGAGAAGATGAAGAAGAGAGGAAGAGGGAGAGGGAGAAGAGAGGGAGGGAGTGTGGGAGAGAAGGCAGGGCAAGAAAATGAAAAAGGGGGAAATAGAGAGATTGATAGGGTGGGAATTGATAGAATAGACAAATAAACCAATAATGAAAATTAAAGAGCGAGAGACAGACAGACGGACAGATGGACACACACAGACAGACAAACAAAAAAAGACAAAGAGAGAGAAAAAAACAAGAGAAAGAAACAGAAAAATCTAAAGAAAAAACAAGAGAAAAATCAAGAGTGTGTGTGTGTGGGGGGGGTGTATGTCCGTGTACAAGAGAAAGAGATAGAGAAAACAAAAGAAAAAGAAAGAAACAACAAGAGAAAAATCGAGAAAGAGAGAGAGAAAAAAAATCAAGAAAAAGAGAGAGGGAGAAAGAACAAGAGAAAGAGAGAGAGAAAAAAAAAAAAATAAATAAAAGAGAGAGAGAGACAGAACAAGAGAAAAAATCAAGAGAAAGAGGGATGCTGGAGCCCGAGAAAAGCCCCGGAGATGTCCAGTCTCCTAGAAGGTTCGGAAATGACAGGCGTTATTGCGTGTCATGCGAACTAATGGCTCTGACTCACACCATTCGGCCTGGGGGGGGGAGGGGGGAGAGGGAGAAAGAGGAGGAGGAAAGGGGAGGGGAGGGAAGGGAAGGGTGGGAGGAGAGAAAGGGGAGGGGGAGGGTAGAAGGGAAAGAGAAGGGGGAGGGGGAAGAGGAGAGGAGGGAGAAGAGGAGAGTAGAGAGTAGAGTAAGGGAGGGGAGGGGAGGGAAAGGGAAGGGGGAAGGAAAGACGGGGCGGGTGGGAGGAGAGAAAGAGGGAGATAGGAGAGGGAGGAAAGGGAGGGGGAGGAGAGAAAGGGAGGGGATGGAATGAGGAGAGGGAGAGGAGGGGAGGGTAGAAGAGGAGAGAGAAAGGGAGGGGATGGAATGGAGAGAGGGAGGGTGAGGGAAAGGGGAGGAGGGATGAAAGAAGTGAAGGAGGGGAGAAGGAGAGAGGGGCGAGTTAGATGCCAGTTCAAAGGCATGTTTATGCTGCCTCATTCTCTTTATTATCTCTCTCTCTTCTTCCTTCCTTCCATATTACCCTCTGTTTCTCTTTCCATTTCTTGCTCTTCCTCCTTTCATCTCTCTTTCCCTTCCCCCTTTCATATCTCATTAACTTTCTTTTTTCGTTCTTCTCTCTCTCTCTCTCTCTCTCTCTCTCTCTCTCTCTCTCTCTCTCTCTCTCTCTCTCTCTCTCTCTCTCTCTCTCTCTCTCATTCTCTCTCTCTCTCTCTCTCTCTCTCTCATTCTCTCTCTCTCTCTCTCTCTCTCTCTCTCTCTCTCTCTCTCTCTCTCTCTCTCTCTCTCTCTCTCTCTCTCTCCCCCTCTCCCTCTCCCTCCTTTCATCATCATCTTTTTATTATTTTTCTTAATATGTCCTTATCTCCCTCTCTTATCCCCTCGCATTATATCGAGTGAATCATTAATCTTAAAATTTCCCTTAACCGTAAGTTCAGGCTGTAAAGGTGTTGGTCAGTCCCTTTTTTATAAGGTCAAAGAAATGTATTTATTATTTATTAATAGTTTTTAATTCATCTGATAAGTAGTTTTGGCGGGCAATGCCTTTCGGAAGTGCGCCCGGCCGGCCATTTATACCAAATGTGAAACCCTGAATAAAAAAAAAAAAAAAGCGCGGGAAACCTTGATGACGTCATAGTAGGTCATTGGCCGGTGATCCTTTCGTATTGGGTTCGAAATCGACTGGTATTTTGTCCGATTGCCTTATCTTTTTTGCACGATATTTTGTTTTGCAATAAATGGCGGAAATGTATTAGATGATTTTAAAATGGAATGGAAAATAGACAGAAAGGAGAAAGAGAGGAAATGGATGAATGAGTAAATGAGGGGAATGAAAGAAAGGGATGGAGAGAGAGAGAGAGAGAGAGAGAGAGAGAGAGAGAGAGAGAGAGAGCGAGAGAGAGAGAGAGAGAGAGAAAGGGAGAGGGAGAGAGAGAATTGCAAGAGAGATAGATATACTAAATAGTTAAAATAAAAAAAGTAAATAAATCAATAAATGGGAGAAAAATTATAAAACTGAATAAAAAGAAGTGAAAGATAGAGAAGGCTGTAGAAGGCTGCTTAAGAGAGGAGGAACAAGCGACCGGCCTGTGACGTCATCGAAAACATCTCGCGTCTTTCCCGAATGGCGTAGCGGATGACAACAAAAACTTCAAGCCATATTGATTTGTATTGTTGGTGATCACCGTAGGATAACAGAGAGTAAGCTTTGATATAGAAGGGTACATACACACACATACACATGCACGTACACATACATACACATACACATACACATACACATACATACACAAGAGAGAGAGAGAGAAAGAGAAAGAGATAAGGAGAGGGAGAGAGAAAGAGAAAAAAATGAGAGGGAGAGAAAGAAAGAGATAGGGAGAGGCCGAGAGAAAGAAAGAGATAGGGAGAGAGAAAGAGATGGGGAGAGAGAAAGGGACAGAGACAGAAACAGAGAGTTAAGGATTTATCTAAGGACCACTCTCCTTGTCCCTTGTACAAGTAACTGTCACACTTTCAACCTGTCTGTCTGTCTGTTTAGCTGTCTTCCTGTCTGGGTTGTGTCTGTGTATCTTTTTATATGCAGTGTTAATGCCATGGAAGTCCCCTGAGTGCGCACTGTTATATAGGCACACATGTTGGCTTCTACATGTATGCGCATGTAAAACACACACACACACTAGGTACTTCCTTGCATGCATACATAGATACATACATGCATACGTACATATAGTACTTACTTGCATATTGTATGTACATGGATGCAACACGTACATACATACACACATACATACCTACATAGACACAAACACATACTTACATACACGCATTTAAACACAACCAAACATATATAGATATATGCATACAGATATACATACATACACGTATACAGATATGCATACATACATGCATACAGATATACATACATACATGCATACAGATATACATACATACATGC